AATTATACTCGTATATGATCTAACCCGCAAGAGCTAGGTTCACAGTTTATAAAAAATTTCCCGAATCTGCACGGATTTGGAAACGAAGTAAAGTCATTAATGATACAAAGAACTAGTCTTACTGGAACGAGTTTAGACAGACTCCGCTAGGAAATCAAATTCGCAGCTGTATTTCTCATCTCTACCAACGTAGATACCGTCAACCCGATTATAACCAAGTAAACAACGGTGTGCCATTCTTTCTTTCTTTTCGCTGTTTGGCGTCACTTGAAAATCCCAAGTACAGTCATCCTTCTCTACCGGGACTTTCTAGTGGAGTGAAGGTCCTTCTCTGCAGATACTGCATCGAGAACTTTCAATACTGAAGCGCTTCCGATCATAAGGCATGACCTATCTAGCGCAGCCACTGTTTCTTAATTCGCTGAACTACGTTCATCGTTCCAACGACTACGGTATTCGCTATACTCAACTCGTAGAGGACCATAAATCTTAAGCAAAATCTTTCTCTCGAAAACCCACAACGTCGACTTATCAGGTGCTGCATCGTCCATGCTTCCGCACCGTATAGCAGGACGGGAACGATGAGGAACTTGTAGAGTTTGGTATTCGTTCGTCGAGTGGACTTTAATTTTCAATTGCCTACACAGTCCAAAGTAACATCTTTTGACAAGTGTAGTTATGTTTACTGAATTTGTTGTTGTTGGTGTTAATACTGGTTCCAATATATATCTGCATCTTCTGAGTTGTGACTGTCAACAGTGGAGATGCGCAGATATTTTTGTGGAAATAATGTAGCGTCTTAAGCAAGATGAGCAAAGAGTGTGTCGAGAAATGTAGAAGATGCCCGGTTTGTTTGGATCGGAAACTTAGCAGAACGCAGCAGACTGCCTCGACTGGGTGCACTCGTCGTGATGGAAATATGGCTTGGAAAGGAAACAAGGCCTTTCTGACCATGTCCTTAATATCACTAAAAGAGCAAGGAGCGGAAACTAGGACCGTACACTCGCAGTAGAAGATGATATACTGTAGATTTGCCTTGCTATCCAAGTAATTTATGAATATTTAATCTTCTGAAAGTATAATGCTGATTACTGGGGCCATGGAGTTTACCGGACTCGTAATGTAATACTTCATTGATAGTTTCACGTAAAGAGTGGTTGTTAGCGGAGATGTGTTAAGTACGTAGGTGCGACTCTGACTGTTGCGAGTCATGCCAACCCTTCTCAGGCTTTGGTCAGAACTCGGACAAAAAAGGATCTAAAGGATTGACACCGAAAATCATTGAATTCGCAAAGCTCATTTAACCTCTCCAATAAAATTTTCAGATATGAGCACCAATATTTAATACTACATTGAAATATAATAAATTTCTCATAGACATGAAACGTAAAAAGAGAGCTTAAGCTCTTACTAAAAGTTTCTTATTTGAAGACGTGACCAATTTTTTCCAAGGAATTTTATTTTTACAATTTATTAGCCCGACTTCGCAAGGCCCAAGGCTGCAAGTAAAAGGGGAGTGATTAAAAATAACAAAATATTTACCGCACTTTATTTAGCACAATTGCAATATGCCTCAATTATACATACATATTTTTGTATGCTATTTACAAGTATACATAACTTGGAACTTACACTTATGATCTCACTCGGTTGCTTGGTGGCTGCAGTGCGGTATGGGGCTTTGTTTGTGCCACATTCAAAATTTATGAGCGAAAATTATTAAGAAAACTGTTGAATGAGGTATGACGTTTTTTTTTGTTGTTTTTGTTGCTGGGCTCATTTAATTTTATTGCTGCTGTGCTAGTAAAACTCCGAAGTGCAGTAGGCAAACAGCCACGGCCAAAGACATATACATATGTTGCACGTACAAATACGTATATACACATACGTAAGTATGAAAAAAAATAAGAAAACTCAGATTAACGACTGTCAGTCAAAGTCTTTCAGCCAGTCAATCAGTCTGCGGTGCAGCAGTGCAGTGGTGTGTGTATATATGTGTGTGTGTGTTGAAGCTGAGGCCGCGATAATAGCAGCTACGAGCTACTTTTCTACTTGCGACACTAAAAATAGTTGAAAATATTTTTTGATTTTTTTTTGTTTGTATTTTAATTTTTTGCGTGGATATTTTGACACATGTTGCAAGCAAACTTACGCGACGTCAGCGCAGGAGCAACTTTATGAACCGGGTTGACAAAATTCGCCACTATGTCAATCCAGCTGACTTAATGGCGCAACTTTTAATGTCAGCCACTTGATGAAGGATGCACATTTCGCCACATGAATGCCTTGTTGTTGCAACCAGTAGATTCCCGTTTAAAATTTTATTACCACCCGAAACGAACGTCAATGGCAGAAACTGATATAGAAACAAAATTTCAGTAGTGAATATGTTTGTTAGGTTGAGTGAAGCATTTCGGGAGAAATGACGTGCATGAAGCTCAAGAATTGTGGGCAACATTTGATATTTCATGGTTGCATGAAACTTGCATTTATAAATAAATTTTGTGCGTCGACGTTATATGAATAATTCAAAGAGGATTTCACAACTCACAAATGTCCTTTGCCGTTGATTGAAGCCAAAAGGGAAATTTATGATATGATATTAGAAGCCAAAAATAAGCTTTGTGTACGCGACGCAACCATTTCGTGCCATCCAAAAAACAGTCAGACCGCCCACACGTACGTAACTACTGTATCCCCCCCATAATAATAAGCATAAAACTGTTAACAAATGCACGAAAAGAGTATGTGTGTACGTATTCTGTGATATATCAAAACTGAAAGCCCTGAGATACGTGTATGTGGCATCAACAGAAAAGCGCAATCACCGCTCTTGCCATTGAAAGTGCAAAGCAGTTGCTGCAACATATGCGCGATTTGTCATTTTCACTAAACAGCAAGGCGTGCCGTGACACCGACTAGTACATTCATAAGTGCAACAAACCAACCAACCAACAATGTTTGATTTGTGGTAGGAGTCTGGGGAATTAGCACTTTGCGAGCGGGTGTGCAACAAAGCTGCAACGCATCACACGCAACCGCAAAACCATTCATCAACGTTGCAATAAAAATATGCGTGTGCGCGTGGTGTTGCAAGTCGCGAATACTGCTACATACATAATTGGTAACAGCAGTATACTTGCAACACTTGTCGTGCTTAGCAGAAATCGCTGGCTCATCGTTGATAATAACACAAGGGCAGTGCAACATTGTTGCATGTTTGCGAGAGTGAATTTAGTTTTTAGAATTTTGTAGGAGTTTTGCACAATTTGAGGCTAAAGTGAAGCGTGCAGCAAGCAAGTGGTACATTATATTTGTTCAAGTGGAAAGGTTTGGGGTTTTTCAAGGTTTTGTGAGCGATTTATGGTCCTTTGGGCATTGGCAACGGCGTATACCGCAGACGATGGAACGATGAGCTGTACGAGCTTTCTGCTTTTTGCTGTGTGGTACCGTTTGGAAATACCTTCTCTACCTGGTCTTCCCCCTCCTTTGCTTCCACCGGCGGGTACTGATCGATAACTTTCAAAGCTTGAGTATTCGCATCCATACGAATCATATGACCCAGCCAGCGTAGCCGCTGCTTCTTGATTCGCTGAACTATATCAATGTCGCCGTATAACTCGTACGGCTCACACAGAAATCGTCTGCGATATTCGCCGTTGCCAAAGCGCAGAGGACCATAAATCTTACGCAAAACTTTTCTCTCGAAAACTCCTGACGCCGACTCATCAGATGTTGTAATCGTTCATGCCTCCGCACCATATAGCACCCGAGAAAGATGAGGAACTTGTAGGGTTTGGTTTTCGTTCGTCGGGAGAGGACTTTACTTTTTAATTGATTGTACCTTTTCTATTCAGCTCTGCAGCTCTTATTATTTTTACCAGCATTAAATTGAAGAAATCACACGACAAAGAGGATTCCTATCTGAAACATTGTTTGGTATCGAACGGCTCGGAGAGATCCTACCCAATTCTGACCGCACTTCTGGTGGTGTCTAGCGTCAGCTTACCCAGCCGCATAAGTTTTGCAGGGATAACAAATTCAGACATAGTGCCGTAAAGGCAGCTCCTTTTCATGCTGTCGAAGGCGGCTTTAAAATCGACGAAGAGTTGGTGGGTGTCGATCCTATTTTCACGGGTCTTTTCCAAATTTTGTCGTATGGTGAATATCTGGTCAATCTTTGACTTACCTGGTCTGAAGCTACACTGATAAGTTCCAATCAGTTTGTTGACGATGGGCTTCAGTCTCTAACACAATATGCTCGACAGGACCTTGTAGGCGATACTTAACGAGTTTTTTATGGATTGAGCAGAACACACTTAAATTCCAATGGTCGGGCATGCTTTCGTCTGACCATATTCTGCAAAGTAGCTGATGCATGCACCTTGTATTCGAAATAGTTCTTCATTTTTAGGGTATATTTATCAACCAAACCGGCCATATCGAACCACTATAGCACATATACGACTAATCGTTTAGATCCGAGATGTTGGGTCCTAAATTTGTCAAACAAAAATTTAAGATCGTTTAAATTCTGTGCACATATGAGGAACTGCACATTGTTGATGGAAATGATCGATATCTTAGTACTACACATATAGCCGATTTGTTGAGAAATGAGGTTATGGTAAAAACACCGTCAAAAACCATCTAAGAACATGAAATTCCGTGTTGAACTTTCCTTTCTATAAATGAAAATTGTTTCTGAAAATCATCGAAATCGGAAGACTATCTTATTAAGACCCTCCAAACAATTTTTCAGAACTGAGCATAAAGACCATAAATTTTAAATGGTCACGAAAGGTATAAAGACCGAAGACAGATCTTGTATTTTGCTTAAAATATAATAATTTGGTAAAAATTCAAATAATTAAACTATTTTTATGATTTTATTTATTTATTTTTATTTTTAATTTTTTTTTTTACTTTATGTTTTAAGTGTAAGCTCTATTCGTGTTTACCAATTATGATTAATTATTATTTTCTCTTTTAATTTTCAGGTAGCGACCATGATGTCCTGCCCCCTTCCCATGCCATTACCAATATTGACTTCAACACTACACAGCGATTTCTCACCGGTTCACATTGGTGTTAAGGTACGTAGAGTCTGCGAGTGTCTATATTACAAAATGCATATCTAGAAAATTTTGCTAACGAAAAAATCAAACGTTTATTAGAAAAAAACTTATGTAGAGATGAAATTTATTCGTTATGTAAGATTTCTTTTTACAGATACATATAAAAGTAAGGACACGTTTTCGGTGTTATTTTATTACTTGGAAACAGCCTTGCTTAGCGAGGTTGTGCACCAACCAGTTCCAATGAAATATTCAACAACGCCTCGCATGATATACCCCCCTTTCGATGACGACCCCTGCGCACATATTAAGGATCGCAAGGGCATGCAGCTAGAATATCTGTACCCTTAATTGGGAAGGTGGCGCAGCCCAGCTGTTTGATAACCCATTCAAACTAAGGGCATACATTACCGCCGTTCAGGAAGTACGGTGAACGGTGACATCTACTACAGCAGTTATAAATAATTAAATTCGGTGTAAGGTTCGTAGTGGGTGTGATGTATTTATGAGCGCCTGTAGCATACTTATGAGCGCTTCCCAGCTACGATATCGTGCTCGGTAACTTTAACGCCATTCGAGGCTTCATCATCGATTCGGACCACTGTCTTGTAGCAGCACGGATCCGCACCCGCCTCTGTACAGCAAAAGACGCTCGCCAACATAGTACATAAGGAGGGTTCGAAGTCAACCAGCTGCAATCGCAATATTCGAGGTCAAAATCGTGCTTGGCGATTTTAATACCAGGCTGTGCAAATAAGGTATCTTCGTCACAATTGTCAGAAAATTTAGCCTCCATAATGAAACATAACCTAAAGGGTTGTGCAGATCAAGAAACTTTCAACGAGATCGATCATGTTATGATAGACAGAAGACATGTATCCATTGTTTTAGATGTGTGTTACAGTCCGAGGACTCAACATGGACTTGCATGTACCGCTATTTCGTAGCAGCAAGGATACGCAGCCGCCTCTGTGCAGCAAAGAACGCTCGTTAACAAATCAAAGACAGTTCAAAGTGGGAATAGCGGTAAAGCAGTAAAGAAGAAGAAAAAGAATTTACAATATGGGTATTAAAATGAAAATATTCAGGAAACGACTAATCAGTGAATATTTTTGAACAGCGTTGGTAACTGTTTGAACATTTTAATGCAAAAGAGTGAATAAAATACATTACGTATAGAGAGAGAGAGCTAATAGAGGACACATTTTTGAGAAGAGTTACCACCTGTTTGATAATTTTAACACCATTAAATTAAATGATATGTTATATTAACGGTATCAAACTAAGGGAAATTATATAAAATAAAATAAAATACATTAAATATGGAGAGCCTAATGGAGGAGACATTTTTGGGGAGAGTAGCCACCTGGTTGATAATTTTAATTGAATTGAGTTAAATTGACTGTATTAAACTAAGGGAAAGTAAAGATACCTATAATAGGAAAGGCCTGAAGTTATTTAACAAAAGCTTAAGTAAAAATTATTTTTGGTAAGTGCTGCCACCTGTTTAAAAGTTTTAAATTAAAAGCTTTATAACTGTCAGTTAAATTAGAGAGATTTTAAAAAGTTTTTGAAAAGGGTTGCAGTCTGTTTGAAAATTTATATGCGGATGGCTCAAGAACTTTCCATTTCAATAAAAAAAAATAAATAAAAAAAAAAATGAAATAAAAAAGAACATTAATATAAATAGAAAAATTAATTAAATTTTGTAGTTGCAGTCGCCCCTCGCCAAGGAATGTCAACCCCTCCGAGTGTATTTCTGACATGAAATAAAAGCTCCTCTTAAATAACCCATCAGCCGTCCGGAGGCGGCTTAGAATAAATTGTAGGTCGCTCTATTTGTTGGAAATACATCAAGATTTAAAACCGTGTATATAAGAATCAAGCGATTTTTAACAGCGATTTTTCGAAATAATTTTTCTGCAGCGACGAGGGTATAATAAGTAAACAAGGAAAATTGTCACATTTGTGGTTCCGAGAAAAGAAATGTGAACTTTCGTCCAGAGCTGTCATTGGAAATTTCTTCTGAAAACGGCTACGCCGAGACTGTGCCTGTCAATTCGGCGCGTTATGCTCGTATGATAACCGTTAAATTAATTGAATTTCATCGTCATTATTATCCTCTATATCTGAGTATTATTTGCGGACAACCGTTATCGCTTGAATATTTAGAAGCATTTTATTTTTTTTTCAAAATTTTATGTATTGAAATCTTACTAAGAATGACATAAAATTAAATATGTGAATATTTAAAATATGTTCTCTCGCTATTTCGCACAAATGTTGCCCAACAGACGACAAGCAAACAAATGCTTACCTTGTTCTTGGGACCATTAAACGCCAACTGTGAAGAATCGGAAGTGCCACAAGAATGATGTGCACTACATTTTGATCCCATTTACATGTCGTTCACCTAGTAATTTGTGGGCTTAACAATGCAAATACACCCACACCCAAGCACCTTATGTATGCTATATACGCGTACATAGGTATGTCTTTTAGTGGTTTTGCTGCGGTCTTTCGCTGGGTTGACAGACAATGCGAAAGAGTAGGCAAAAAAAAATGTACAAATATTTTTCATGAACCCGAATCAAGTAGCCACATCTAACGATATACATACATACATACACATGTGTGTACCAACATTTACGCTGCCAAAAAAATATACCCACAATTTTGTGACAATAACAAAATAAAATAACTCAGAGTGAACACTTTTTAATGATATTTAACTGCACACTTTGCCAACAAACAAATTCATTTGGTGCGGCGAGTGCGTTGGTGACATTGCGGTTACCCTGCTTAGAGCGACAAAATGCAAAATAATGATGTCCCATTGCATGATAAGGATGAAGGGATGTGTGCGACCATCTAAATGTCAAAAGAACGAGCTCTAAATCGGTGAGATTGATACCACCACGGGAGAGAGTCTAAATGGTATGAAGAGCTGGAATTCTAAGGTGGGAAGGACACCGTTAGTAAATGGCCCACTTCTAAATGAAGAGCAAAACAATTTGAAAGCCCCCCCGCTTCATAAATTTCAACACAATATTTCTTGCGTTCAGTATTGTGGAAAGGCAAGTGTAATTTATATCAGACACTGAAGAGTTTTAAAGGGAGGATGTACGCGTGTGTCGTCTTTGGAAGCATTGTCTGGGTGGCTTGATAAATGCCAGCAATTTTTTATTTAATGCTTGAATATTTGGGTGTGTTTGCGCATTGCACACATTGCACAAATATTTATTTTCCTCCACTTGAAATCGTTAACGTATATGTATGTAAGTATAATATATACATAAATTTATCTTAAATAACGAAACTAAGTGTTGGGAAGATATCGCAGCACAACGCGCAGGAAACCTTATTGTCCACGTAATGGTCGCTCATTAACGTCTCCTCCGGCCACTGCTAGCAGCAGACAACTACGCTGTCTTCAGTGCTAAGATGGCGCTTAAGTAAGGGCAACTGTGGGTTAGAAAAATGTGTATGATGTCTTTAGTAAGAAACCTTGGGTAGTAACGCTCCACAAATGACTGCAGGAGCTAGAAAAATAAGCAAACGCATTGATTCGGACAGTGTTGCCATTGTGAGTGATACATTACTAGTTGCTTGGCTACAATTCTTACGTTTGAATAAATCCAACTTACTTTATCCTTTCGGTGTGCAACTTAACAATGATGCATCGGTTGAAAACGTTGTGATTGAAAATGAAATAAAATTAAAAATAAAAATAAATAAAAGTTTAACATTTTTTATAGAAAATTCAAAAACCGACGTGCAGAAACAATCACTATGAATCGATCTGCTACTGTAGGCAAAAAGTAAGGTGAATTTCTTGTAAAGTTTAAAATCTTCACTCTTCCACATCGATTTCGTCGCCTTCAATGTACTTGTGTCAACGCTTTTTCCAATTATCGAAGTATGCCAAATAAACACGTTCTGTTATGGCCTTCAGAGGGCGCGCCGATTCACATTTAATCTGCTCAATCGACTCAAAACGGTGTCCTCGAAGTGGTCTCTTGGGGTTTTGAAAGAGCGAGAATTGAATTTACATAGACCCGAATAGTTTATCAAACTCGTTTTTACAGATCCTTCTGAAAATCCAACCATATCTGTAAGGTCTCTAACAATCAATCGACGATTTATGAGCACTAATTCCTCAATTTCTTTGACGTGTTGCACAACAGTTCACGTCGATGGTCGTCGCAGGCGCTCCAAGTCAATAACACTTTTCCGGTCCTCTTGCATTTTTATGAATTTTATGTGCTTTTTTTTTAAAGTTTATAATTTTCTTCAATAAAGGCTCTGTGCCAATCCGATGAAAATTGTCAGTTTGGACATTTTTCGTGGAGAGTACCAAACGTCAGAATTTCACCTGGTTTGAATCCATGCTATTAATAGCAGAGCAGAACAATATAACAATAACAACAACAAGTAAATGCAGCCACATGACATCCGATAAAAAAAGCATATAACTTCGTATCCGGTAATGTTTTGTTGGAATTAATTGGACACATTTTGTGAAAGTGCTGCAAGAAACTCTTTAATGTGCTCGAATTTTCCGCTTTACACCCAAAGATTTGACCTCACCAGACTTTTACTTATGGGACTTTTTAGGTAACAAAGTATCTTCCCACAAACCGAAGTTTTTAGACGAACTGAAAAACAACATGCGAGCTGAAATTGCTGCGATATCACCCGAGATACTGGCAAATGTCATGGAAAATGCCGAAAAAAGCTCGAAGTTTGGTTAGCGCAATGAAGGGGTCATTTGACCGACGTTGTTTTTCGAAACTACTGGAAAAAATAAGGCTTTAAATTTGGTAACAAAAAAAAGTTGATCAAAATTAACTGAAAATTGTTTAACATTTCCAGTGACCACATTTAGATGGCGCACCCTGTATATATGATTTCCTCGTGAGCTTTTATTTCGTTTATGTCAAAATTTACAATTTCATTTGACACAAAAAAAAAAGTAAAATTTCCTACCTCGTTTTACCATTTGAAAAAAAAGATAC